ACTCGTCATCATCAGCTCACCCTTGTTAATGTAAGCGTCTGCAGTTGTTTCAACTGCTTTAACGAATCGACCAGAGTGTCTACGTGGTCACGAAACCTATGAAATGTCAACTGCTGGATGTTCCGTGTCAAGTTTTCCAGGCATGCCTACATCTCATCGATGTCACCGCTCAAAAATAAGTGTCGAAGTGACGATCGCTGGTGTACAAGCGCTTGGTGAAAGTTGGTACGATCTTTGAGAGTGTACGAGTCGATGTGAAGGCTACTTAGTCGAATGTTTTTTTCAAGTAGCACCGGTGTGACAAGAGCGACGCCAGATTGGCAGTTGAAGAACTCTAGGCTTCGAAGACTCTCGCACTTTCTCAACCAGGCAACAGTCTCCAAAAAAGCATCCTGCTGTGAAGTCTCAAGATCGTCGGCCTCATGCGTATCGTCAATCCGGAGGTTCTTCAAGGCGACGCAGCCTTGCAGTAGCGACAGGTGTGGCAAAGTCTCGTTCGTAACACTGAGCTGCAGATCCTCCAATGACCTTCCGTGATGATTGAGAGCAAGGAATGTCTCCGCACCAGCGCCGATATCGCTGATAGCATGTAGAGTCTTGAGAGAATTAGGTCGCATTGCAGATAGAAATGTGGCAAAAGAATGATCCGTTTCATCAGACATCCAGGTGTAGATCATCAAAGAGCTGAACTGTGGACAATTATCTCGGAGAGCTGCATGGAGCCGCTCATCTTCTAGGGCCTTGCCATCCCATAGTTCAAGAGTGGTCAGGCGTGGAAGACGTGGAGTCCATCTCACGAGCGCATCAGAGAGAACTGAAATCGTTAGGTGTAGGTTCACTAATTGCTTAAGCCAAATACGTACGCTCGCCACTGATAGACTCGAGTGTTGGTGTGTGTAATGTAACAACTATGCCTACTCAGTACCAGGTTCTGCATGGGATACATGACACAAGACGCGCACCTTCGCCAATCGCATCAATGATTTCTGCGTTATTAAGCCACGTATACTTCCTGCCGTTGACGGTTGTGCGACTTTCAGATCTCTCAAACTGTTTCAGGGGTCCCGAGAAGAATTGTCTACACAAGATCAGCAGCTATCAAGCACTGATAGTGGGGCCTGACAGACTTGAAGACCTTGAATCGGAACTGATCATCATCAAGCAGATTGCCCAGATCACGGAAATCGAGCGACTTGATATATCGACAATAAGGAAAGAGGGTAGCACCAAGGCTGGACGCTATGATAGATCTCCATAGTATAGACCATCTCTGGAGCATCAGCAGCTTGGTCGCTATTGGCAAGCCATAGAAGTCATCCCCGCCACCTCGAACAGGCGCCTGGTGATGCGATCTTGAACTGACGTTAGTGGAGCTTCCTTTCAACACCTCGATGGTGCGACTCAGTGGTAATCAGCCGACTTACCGATACAAATGTGTCAACGCAGGAACGGCGAGGATACGACTTGAACACGCGCAATGAAAGAGGGTGTCGAACTGTTCCTGGGCCGCAAGTTCCTCACATAACAGATGCAAAATATCATCCGGAAGGGCTGGCTGGGCCATGCCGGTCGAAATGTGTGATAAACAATTTTCCAGGATTATCACCTTACTGTGATGGTTTACGAGCATGACGTGGGTGTTTGATGGATCTCGCGCTAGCAGTAGCGCGTTTCCGACGCGATCTTTCCGCTTTAGGACACAATCGTGGTTGTCACGATGCGATCCCAGGTCCAAAGCGAAGTATGGCTATTCTCAATTTCACACTGACGCCTGAGGCAGCCGCCAAAGTCCACGACTTGCTGGTTTGTCTTGGAAGGTTCGACGACACCGTACTCCTCGAAGCGCGCAGAGAAAAAGTAGGTCTCGATCTACGCTATTGAGTCGCTGCATTATCTGATCCAGCTCGTGTCAGCTTACTTTCACGGCTCTGAACTCGTCCAAAACTACATATGCCGCTATCTCCCTTGATGGCAAGCAGTTTTTCCAGAGCTATGAGTGTGTACCGAGTATTGGTGGACCAGATGGGCGCTTCACATGTAGCATGTACACGAAAGCACTGCTCTCTGTCTTCAAAGGCCGGCTATTTGATCCCATGGGACGAGAAGGCGCAATTGATCGCTGCGAAGTCAGTGTGCAAGAGCGAGAGACAGAGGCGCAATGCCGTTTTATTGTGAAGATGGTGTGTAACCAAGGCATCATCAAAACCTACAAACTCACCTACGAGTCCGCTGAAGTTCTCCATGCGCTGTTTGATCGAAGCGTGGCGCCGAACCACTGGAGCATGCATTCGAGTGCGTTCAAAGAGTACATTGAATACTTTGGTACAAAGACCGAGATGCTTGACATCTTTGCCGGCGAAGATGGCAGATGTGTGTTCAAGAGTTATACGGAGAAGATCTCGAACGGAAAGGAAATACTCAAGCATCCACTGGTCACAGCAGTAGCAGTCAACACATCTGATTTTGATGAGTTCAGTGTCCAAGCCGGACTACATATCATCATCAGCGTCAAAGACTTCAAAGCCATTGTCGTGCATGCAGACACGCTCAAGACAAGCCTGAAAGCATATTATTCACAACCAACAAGGCCTCTGCAGTTCAGCTACGGATACGACGGCTTGCTTTGCGAATTCACCTTGATGACCTCTGGCAACATCACTGCAATCCCAGCAATACCCACACCTGCTCTCCAGACTCACAACAGCAGACAAACATCACGAGCGACCTCAGCAGCAACCGAGCGTACAGATACACGCAGCACACGTTCAGGAATGCCGCCACCAATGGACACTCCATCCCGCCGCGACCGCATCGGACGTCTCCGAAACCCCGGATCAAGACAAAGCTCGACTACCGCACAAGTGGAACCAGCGCAGCAGGATTCTGAAAGCCTCTTCATACCCGACGATGAAGAAGTCCGGAGAAGAGAGGAGGAGGAGGAAGAGCAGACTTGGGCGCCTGTAGACTACGAGAAGGAGGAAACGCTTGGATGGGACGCCAGTGCGAACCACGATGTCTCCGCATTTCCAACGTTCCGGGATAGCGGGACTACGGTGCGAGGAAATGCGGTTGAGAAGGCAGAGGTGTTTGAACCGACGCAGCGCGTCTCACAGATTAAGGGGCTGTGGTGACATGATGGAGCTACAGAATACGTATCGCTATGGAAGAATCGAGCATCGTGCTTGCAAGACAGATGAGTTATGTGAATAGAAAAGCTGATAGAAAGGTTGTTGGTAGCCAGTAGAATAAGTCTCCGCCCCTTATCTAAGCAATGTAATTTCGCTTCAAACTCGCCAACTTGAATGCATATTGAGAACCTGCCCATGTACCACTCCTACACCGGACCATTCCACCATGCACACCCTCCTAAATTCGATCATTTAATAACTCCGCCCTCCTGACAGTCACATCTCTATCCAACTCCGGCAGTTCCTTCAGCCGCTGCACGAATTCCGCGCTCAAATAATCATCCTCTATGTATATCCAATAATTCTCCGCGATATTCCCGGCCAACATCTCTTTGATCCTATCCTGGGCAGGAAGAGAGATACCTGCCGCTGTGTAGACGTTGCAAGCGAATAGCATAACATGCCACAAGTCCCATGGTGCCATGCGTTGCAACTTGTCAATCATATGCTCCATCATATCGGCCATGCCAAGTACTTCTGCTACTGTCCAGGCGGCCACAAGCTCCGAGAATGCCTCGTTTTCTTGCTCGGCTCCCTGTGGATTCACGTAGCCGAATTGGCCGCTCTCGAGGTATTCGGCAATGTAGGTGAAGTCGTCGGGGTCAATGTCTGCCAGGCTAGGATGCTTGAGTTCGAACATGCCGTCATCGTCCATGCTGAAGTACATTATGCCTGCAGTGGATTCTCTGAAGTAGGGCTTGTCCCACACGCTGGCCTTGAGGAGCATGCGTTCGTCATGTTGTGGCCCAACTCGAACTCGGACATGTGTTTTGCTCGTCTCACTATAGCTATTAGTAGCTTTCTATCTTTTCCGATGCTTTGTACTCACATATCGCCTTCGATGGTGTCGCTTTTTGGGACATTCGAGTGTTCGTCAAGTCTCTTGAGGTCGAGTCCGTCGGTAAAGGTCCTCGGGGTAAACTGCAAAGTCTGACGGTTGCCTGACACCGCTGGTGAGTTGCTGGACCGAAAAACATGGCTAGAACCGTTGAGTCCGTGTTCAACGGAAGAAGATCGGAAAGGGTCTTCCTGTCGTGGAGCCCTTGGGATTTTAGCGGATTGGTTTGTATGACGCTGGGTGTATGGAGCTGTGACCGCAGCACGGTACGGTTTATAAGGTTGAGCTAAGCGTGGGCCTTGGTCATCATCATCATCATCAGAGTCCAGTATAATCACAACCTTATCCCTTTGTTTGATACTCCTTGGCGCAGTTGATGAAGATGAGAACGCGTGCTTGTTCGCTTCGTCGAAATCGAGCCGACTCTGTTGAATTGCCAACTGTATCTCCGAATGATCGAAACCATCGCTCGAGCAAGGGCTAGACTCAGCGCGCAAAGTTTCAGAATCCGAATAGAGAGCAGTGGTTTCAGTTTCTACGCGCCATCTCCAGTGATCGAGACCCAAGTCTTCTTCAATTGCAACATTGCACATGGCGAAAGCTTCGCCGAGACCAGGAGTATTCTCCACAGTTTCTTCGTCCGTGAATGGGATAGATGGGTCAAAGTCATGTAATTCACTGGTGAGTGCCCAACAACTATGTCTATCAGCGTACGCTCAAGTATTGTTGTAAAATATACCCACAAGTTCAGTTTTTCCCCTACGAGTAGGACCAAGTGCACATATGTGCGAGGGTTGGTGTCCAGGAAGTCTTGTGGTGCGACATCATCTGGACAAACCACCCCCGGCCAAAGGGGTGAGTTTGAGCCGTGTTGGCGGTATAGTACAAAGGAACCCATCGAAAATCGCATTTCGTACGGTGTGGGGTATTTTTGTATCTCTACGTTCTCAAGAATCGGAAACTGGCGTGTCTTGCGGGAAGCGTGCATAACGGATCAAAGAAATTGGTCCCAATATGAGCAATTATAACCTGATCGGATCCGAAGTGGCGGATGTAGCGGGTCCGTTATTGTCTTGCTATTTTTCTATAAGCAAGGTATTTCCCAATTTCATTAGCACGATCGATGTGAAGGAGTCGATGGTAGAGAAAGTGTATCTTCGAGGCTCGTGGGTAAGTGATTGTGGTAAATGTAAAGAAACCGCGAGGACAAGAGAGAAATAACAAGGGACTAATGAGTCAATTGAGTTAGAGAATAGCGAGAGAGACCAAACCATCGCATTGCGAAACAATACTGTTATATATAGTAAGCCATGACAGCGCTACTTCCCAGTGAAGGCAAGCTGTACTAGATTTCACCCAAGGTGAGAGACCTCATCTCAAGCTACTTACCCGCCAGCAAAACATCTCAGTACGCAGACGCAAGCGTCCCATATCAATCCCAACCTCGAGACATAAAGAAAAAGTGAAGGCACAAACGATGTGAGTCTTGAGGTGCTGGGCGCCAGATGCGGAGCCAAAGCTCGGGGGTTTACATAATCTGCCCGCAACAACCAACCAGCGAATCCAAGGACATCTGGCATCAACACTCCAATCTCACCCTACGATTTCGCTCGCGGCCGACGCTCTTTTCCCCCAAGAGCAGTATTATACCAACCTGCTTGCGGCACGCATCACCGCTGTGTATCCAATTACGCTGAATTGCAGATTCTACCACGTCAATTGCCCCCAGGTTTCACCAGGACTTCGTTCGTGCTTCTCTCTCTCACACCCACAACCGCAACCATGCTCGGCGTCAGCGGCATGCAACCACGGCAACTCGCCGCCCAAATCCTGAACTTCGCACTCGTCCTCTCCACCGCATTCATGATGTGGAAGGGCCTCTCGGTCGTCTCAGACTCGTCCTCGCCCATTGTCGTCGTCCTGTCTGGATCCATGGAACCCGCATTTCAGCGCGGCGACCTGCTCTTCCTTTGGAACCGGGGGTTGGATACGCAAGTGGGTGAGATTGTAGTGTATAATGTCAAGGGCAAGGATATCCCGATTGTGCATCGGGTGGTTAGGCGGTATGGGGGAGGGTGAGTCTGCGTCTTTTTGTTTAAAAAAGAAAGAAATCGTCTACAGACGCGATTCCAACGCATCAAGCGTACACAGTGGAGGACAAGGACCCCAGCTAACACAACCCACAGCAAAACCCCCCTCCGCCTCCTCACCAAAGGCGACAACAACATCGCAGACGACACGGAACTCTACGCAACCAGCCAATCCTTCCTGACCCGCAAAGAAGACGTCGTCGGCAGCGTAGTCGGCTTCATACCGTTTGTCGGATACGTGACCATTTTGCTGAGCGAGAACCCATGGATGAAACAGGTCATGTTGGGCTTGATGGGGGTCATGGTGGTGTTGCAGCGGGAATGAGGGAATCTACAACGTATGCACACCACACCAGGGCACGGCACGGCACGGCACGTGTATCAAAGGAGGCGCATGCGATGGCGTTTTTTTCTTCTTCTTCCGCGCGATTGGCTCTTGTATATATAGATATCCCAGTTGACATGGCAATTACTCACACACGATGAACAAACAAGCAGAAAAAAGCCCCATTTTGTGTATCGAGTGTATCGCACTCCCTCAACCCTCTCACTTCTTCCCCCAACACCACCAAAACCCACCCCCGTCCCAATGCTCACACACTCCCAATCAAACATATCTTTCCCACAACATTCAACTTCTCAAACCTCGCCCTCTCTCGCGTTGAACAAATGGGATGACAATGCCCCGTAAAGCTGCCTGGGCGGAAAGTACACACCGCTGGAGGGAGAGGTGGTGGTGGGTTGGTGATTTGTTTTGGATACATATATATATATATATCTGTGTGTGTGTGTATGAAGGGTATGTGTATATAAAGGATATGTATATATAAAGGATATGTATATATAAAGGATATGTATATATAAAGGATATGTATATATAAAGGGTGTATATATAAACAATATGTCTGTATAAAAGACATGCGTAACTATCCCAGCATACGACATCAACAGGCATAACCAGCTCCACATGGATACAAAACACCTACACCTACACCTACACCTACATCTACATCTACCCCTCCACGTCCTCCAATCCACCATGACCCCCCACCACCAACCAAGAAGGAATACAAAAAAACACGGCTTTTACCCTTGTAAACCTCCAAATACATACATCTGGAAATATAACCACACCACTCTACACCCCTGCCTCGCCTAATCCACCCCGCCGTCACAGTCTACATGATTCCGGATATCATTTACTTATGGTTGTGTACGCGATATACATCATGTGTATACATGGCCCAATCGCCTGGCCCAATTCCGTCCCTGCCAGCACCAGCAGCACCAGCACTAAGCACGATAGCATCACCATTACTATCAAAAACTTTTTTTTTAAAAAAAGAGGAACAAAGCACATAAAAGCGAGAATATTTTGATTGCCATTTCGCACATCGACTAGTTGTACACGGACCCAGAGTCATAAAAAAGCATCATGATGTCTTCCAGCGCGCCCGCAGAAGAAAAAGGCTGTGGGAGTTTTGAGGGAGAGGTAAGAAGCGGACGCCCAAAACACATCATGGCCGCCAATGGCGCGGAGCTGTATAACTGCAGTCGAATATTGAAAAGGTGGCGAGCAAGAGGGGAACCACATATTTCTTTTTCTTTCCCTTCCTTCTCTGCTTGCCTAGCCGGCCTCTCCTCTCTCTCTCTTCCTCTCTGCCTCTCTCAGTACGAGGCAAAAGGGGGACCCATTAGTGAAAAAGAGAAGAGGAAAAAGAAAAAAAGGCAAAAGATCACTTTGGGAAGAAACATCGAGGCCTGGAAGCGGGAAAAGCCGCCTGTGACACCGTGGAAGCCGACTGAGTACGAGTTTGATGCGGGAAAAGGCGGAGTACAAGAGAGAGAGACAGAGGATTGGATACCCTCTCCTCGACCTATTCAGACTCGTCTTCCTCTTCCTCACCGGCCTGCGGCTGGTTAGTTGGGTTGCGCAGAAGAAGCAGGAGGATTCTTACAAGACTTACGGCGTACGCGGCCTTCTCTTCCTCGTAGCGCTTCTTGTCGGCCGCAGCCTTGGCCTCGTACGGAGTGCGTTGCTTCTCGTTGAGAGCCTTCCACTTCTCACCCAGGACCTTGCCAACCTCACCTGCGAACCGTCAGAAAAACGTGACCTGGACAGTACAAATGACGCCGACGTCGACGCAAAACTCACCAAACTTGATGCCGGGGTTGTCCTCGCGGACCTTCTCACGCTGCTCGTTGGCGAAAAACATGTATGCGGAAAGGCCACGCTTGGGCGCGTTGGGGTCTATTGCTTGTTAGCT